CGTTTCTGAGAACAGAAAAAGCCTAAAGGAGTCGTCTTGACTGAGGGACTCGGCGAGAGAAAGATAGGAAACAAGGGCCCAGACCCTTAGACGTTTCCGTGAAAAAGCCAAAAGGAGTCGCCTCGATTGAGAGACTCGGCAAGTATATATAGAAACAACGGGGCACTGACCCTAAACCGTTTCTGAGAACAGAAAAAGCCTAAAGGAGTCGCCTCGACTGAGGGACTCGGCGAGAGAAAGATAGGAAACAAGGGCCCAGACCCTCAGACGTTTCCGTGAAAAAGCCAAAAGGAGCCGCCTCGACTGAGAGACTCGGCAAGTATATGTAGAAACAACGGGGCACTGACCCTAAACCGTTTCTGAGAACAGAAAAAGCCTAAAGGAGTCGCCTCGACTGAGGGACTTGGCGAGAGAAAGATAGGAAACAAGGGCCAGACCCTTAGTCGTTTCCGAAAGGAAAAGCTGAAAGGAGTCGCCTCGACTAAGGGACTCGGCGAGAAAGAGCTGGGAGACCAGAGCCCAAGCCCTTAGTCGTTTCTCGGAGGAAGCGTGAAAGAGTCGCCTTGGCTGAGGAAAAGCATAGTTCGAAGCCTTAGAAGAATGCCAATGTTAAAAGAACCCAAGGACAAATTCCGTGAAAAGAGATGAAAAAACTGTTTCTTTATTAAAATACGGCCGATAAGGAGGCCAGCCCTTACAAAAGAAGGTCTATTCTAAAAAGACCCTAGACTACAGTGGAGGGGGTATCGACGGCGACCCCTTCAACTTGCGCCCCCGCCGATGGTCCAGCAAGGGGAGCAGAGGGAGGATCCTCCGCCTGAGGAAGGGACTCGGGAAGCTCTGGAGGCGTCGCCGCAGGAAGAGTCGCCGGGTCAGAAGGCGCAGTCAGCCCATCAGCGTCCAGCACCGGCTTGAGGCCCCAGCTCTCGGGAGTGAACGAAGGATCGCGGGCCAACAAGGTGGCGTGAATCTCCATCTGCGCCTCGCGGAAGCCGAGGCGGTAATCTCGCTCGCCCAGGTCGAGGAGGAAGTCATCGCCCTCCGGGGTCGCCAGCCACTCCTTGGCCACCTCTCTCCTTCGAGCTGCCACCGCCGCCTGCACATCCGCCTCGAAGGCCGCCGACTTCTTATAATCTGCGACGGAAGTCGCGGCGATCGTGGCCACTTTGCCCTTCTCCTCCTCCCATTGACGGGTGACCCTCAGCAGCTCGGCGTTGTGCACCTCCACCATCTTGAGTTGCTTCGCCTGCTCTTCCAGAAGAAATTCCTCTGTCTGGCGCTGCTTGGCGGTCATAGCCCGCATATCGTTCCTATAGCCCTGGAACCGATTGCCCAGTTCCATCTGGAGGGCGAGGTCCTGCACACCCAGCCGTCAGTCGAACAGAAAAGAAAAGAAAAGAGAGTAAACAGAGGGAAGGGCCGAATGAGTGACACTTACGCGATACGACTGCCGGAGCAAAGCCTCGATGATGAACCCGTCGCCAAGAGCACGGGTCGACTCCACATCCTTTGGCAAAAGGACATCCTTGCACCACTTGCGAACGGAGGTGTTGCCCATCCAGATTTGGGCGTCCTCGTCCACCTCGTGGCACAGCCTGATCCTCTTTGAAGCCGGCCCCTCCGTAGGCTCAGCAGGCCGCTTAGAACTCGGGCTCTCAGTAGAGGGAGGAGGCGGCTGCCGACTGGGCGACACCACGGGCGAAGGTGTGAGGTCGACCACGTTGTGGGAAGATGCAGGAGTCGGCCGGACCGCCGGCGATGGCTGAGATGAGGACGCAGCGGCCGGACCCGTGGAGCGTTGCGTCAGGCGACGCCTCATCTTTTCCGCCCTGTTTGCCATCTCAGGAGTCGGTTCGATTGCTTCGCCGGAGCTGGAGGTATCGGAGTCGTACGGACCTGTAAAAGAAATACACTCACTTGTGAGTGTTCCCGTGGAAAACAAAAAGCAAGACGAGAAGGAAAAGGAAAGAGACGCTACCTATGGTGGCGGCGCCCTCCGGCAGAAGGCCATGCTTGGCCATGGCCCGGACTCGAGACCAGTACTTAACGGAGTACGGCCCGAAGCCTTTCAAGAAGTCGCCGCCCATGACAGCATCCTCCGTAAAGACGGCGCGCCGAGAGTAGGGCTTGAAAAGAGTCGCCGGCCAAAGGGTCGGAAAGGTAAAGGGAGAGAGAAGTCCAAGAGGCTGCCACGCGGCGCCTCCGTAGTGGAGGAATCGGAGGCGACAAGACGTCGAAGGGACGCCGCATTTAATGCCTCGATGGACGGAACGACGGTTCAGGCCTAGGGCTAGCCTGCAAGCGGCGCGTCTACCCTAGGCCAAGGCTGAGTGACGACGACCCGGCCTGCCGGACCAAAGGCCCATCAAGGCAAAAGGTATGGGGGCCCATCCAGATCACGCTAGAAGTTTCTAGAAGTGACCCGGCCGGGTCCGGCCAAATAAAGAGGCCCGGACAAGCTTCAGGTTGCAAGATCGGCCGACAAAATTTGCCGAGTCCCCCACCCACGGGACTTAGTCGGACAGAGTTTGTAACTCGGTCATAACGACCAAGAGCCGGCCAAAGGAACACACAAAAACCAGGGTCCGAAAAGTAAAAACGAGATTTTATTCCATAAAGACAGGGGTACAAGGCCGAGGACTCGGCTATAGACATTACACAGAAAAGACAGGCCTAGGGCTTAACTTCCTCCTCCTCCGCGTGACGCACCGGCTCCGGACCCTCCAAATAGTAATGGGGGCGGAAAGGAAATGGACTTGGCTCAGGCTCGGGCTCGGGCAGTTTATCCAGATACACGGCAGGCTTCCCATCTACGACCATCTGCAGAGGCCTCTCCAGAGCACTCGGCGACATGACCACGCCAAAAAGCGGAGGAGCCTCCCAGTCTAGGTCCCCCTCTGGCTCTGGATCCTCTACCATGGGCACCATCTCGTCCTCCTCCGGGTCCACGACCATCGGATCAAGCATGTCAGGAGGCACCACGATGGGATCAGAAGCGGAGTCGCCCACCAGGTACCCTCCGCTAGCCGCCCTCTTTCGCCGGAGCTCCTCCTGCCGGGCATGCTCCTTATTACGGATGGACCAACGACGATCACCGTCCCTGAGACTCATAGCTTGAGGTTTTTGAGGTGTGAAATGGTGAGAAAGCACAGAGCTACCAAAAGCCCTTATATAGAGCCTCGAGAGAGCAACGACCGAGGCGCAAATCACGGAGAGAATCGTAACTGACATAACTGAGCCGGATGGGACGGGCAGCGTGAATCTCTGTCAGAAATTAATCCCATCCAATTAGCTCGGGAAGGGTGAGATTCGCACGCTAAACTGAAAAAAGCCTGGCTCGCCCGGGGAAGCGAGATTTACAGGTGTCAAGCGGAAGGAGGACTCGACATCGCAGTCGACTCCTCGACAATTGAGACGGACGAGTGCACTAAATATACTAAAAAAGAGGAAAGCTGAAGGCTGAAAATATTTTATTATAAAATAAAGAAGGTGCAGGTTACAAGGAGCTTATTACAGAGTAAGCAAGTGCTCCTAACAGAACTACCCCTCTAGAGAATCCGGCCGACCCCAGTTCACAAAGATCACTCACTCGGCGAGGAGGAGCCGCTTCCAAAGAACCCTTCCGATGGCCCAGGAGAGGGTGGGCAAAGCGAGTCCCAGAACGCCGGCATGAGCGGCGGCACAACCAGCTCTTCATCGTCCGGGTAAATCTCTTGATAACGAGCGAAGTCTTCCTCGTTCATTAACCCGGTAACCGGACCGTCCAGGTCATCTAGAGGAATAGAAAAGGTCATACGAAAAGTCAACTGCTCTGGGACAGGCACGTTAACAACGGTCCCGCCTGGGGAAGTTACTCGAGCAGACCCCGGAGGAGGAGAAGGGCGAGAAGTCGGAGCGACTTCACGACGAGCAGGAGTCGGCGGAGGAAGAGCCACAGAGGCGGCACCAGCAGGTGATCTCTGTGGAGTCGGATGGGGAGCCTTCCTTTTAGGCTCCCTCTCAGGCCGAGTCCGTTTCAAAGGCAAAAGGCGCCGGGGCGACCCAAAATCAATCTGCTTCCCTTTCAGTGGTGAGCGACCCATGAGGAATTAGTAAGTTAAGAAAAGAGCGGCCGAGGTCATTTATAGGTGTCAGGCCAGGCCAAGGAGATCAGAACGGTCCCGCGAGATCCGGGAGATAGCGAATAATCTGGGCCAATCCTGAGTCATTCAAGGCACGGATTCGGTGAGCTGGAGAGGGTTACTACTTTTCCAAACCCAGGTTGGTGGACCGGGTATGGAAAAGTGAGGGACTAGTTGATGGGGTGAGAACCCCGGCCCAAGAAAAGAGGCCCAGAAAGAATGCATGGGCCGAGTCCAGGACTCGGCCCAAGTCCAAAGAGGGAGGCCCAGTTCAGAGACCGGAAGGACGGCCCAATACCAAACGGGGACGAGGAGTCGACCCAGGCCCGACCTAGGAGAGGACTCGGTCCAGAGAGCCGTTGAGGGAGCCTTCAACACAGTTAAGACAAGGAGCCGTTGAGGCATTAAAGGCCGGGCTCGGTCCGCCAGTTACTAGCCAAAGAGAGCCGTTGGCAGAGTCTGTAACGTCGCCCAACGGCTCGGCGCATTGAATGTACCCTTTAAGTCGACCATCATGAGCCTTTAAGACGGTAGAGGAGGAGCCACTATAAAAAGGGCTCATCCACCATTGTATGAGGCAGATTCCAGAACCCGGAGAGGGAATAGACAAGTATTATTAAGCATCATATTTTACTAAGACTCAAACCCTTTTGTGAAAGGTGTATCCACCAACTGTAGGTTGTGTTGGACCTCCTTGGGCCCGAAAACCCAAAAACCATCAATGTGATTCCCAAAAAAAATGTCTATATCAAAGATTTGTGAGAAGGAGTATAAATTGAGAATAAAAAGTGGAAGTACATGAAGTCTATCAAAATTTTGAGTTCTGCGGCTGAACAATAAACCGGTTCCGTCCGTATGATTTCGGTTAAGGTTCCGTTTGTTGGGTTCGAACCGGGTGAGGTTAGCATTTACACTTGAGTTGGGGCGTTGGGCTTAATACAAAAGCTCTGCAGCTTCGGAAATCGGAAGTTGCGGCGGTTGTAGAGTGTTCGATGTCGGACCCGTACGAGAGAGCCAAAGGAGGGAGGCTGGCCTTCAAGGGAGGCGACCTCGCAGTCCGCACCAAATCCATCGACAAAAAGAAGAAGAAAAAGAAGAAGTCATCCGCCGACGACTTCGTTTCCGACGAGCCCTTGTCCGGCGACGCTGCCGTTGCCGCCTCGGAAATGGGTTCGGGTTCAGCTCCTGACGGAGGAGATAACAGTATTTACACCATTGACGCGGCGAAGAAGATGAAGTACGACGAGTTGTTCCCAGTTGAAGCTAAGAAGTTCGGCTACGACCCGAAGGCTAAAGCCGAGTCCGTCGAACAAGCCCTTGATGATCGGGTCAAGAAGAAAGCTGATCGCTACTGTAAATAAAACGTCACATTCTTAGGTAAATCCACGATTTTCCTAATTCTTGTATGGATTCTTATCATTTTTCGTATTAGGGTTTCGTAAAATTGATAGTGCTTTCTGTTTTATCTTTTCTGGTTCGAAAAATTCTTTTATGCTACTATCATGGATTCTTTTAACCTGAGAAATTAAAACAAGTTATGGTTAGAAATATTAGCCATCCATTGATTTTCATTTAAGTGTTTAATCAATGTTGTAGAATGGGACGCTAGTCGGGCACCCGGTGCTAATAATAATAAGAAAAATAGCACACCAAAATTAAAAACACTCGGCCAAGTCGGCTGACTCGGGCGCTTAGTTGGCCAACTCGGGTGCCTAGTTAGGCCGATTTTTGCAACAGTGTGTATAATACTAGGGAAAGGTTAGATAGGATGGCAAAATTGGTTTGGAGATCCTCTGGTGTTATTTGGTGGCTATAGGCAATGCTGTTGGATAGTTAGCTTGCTTGCAGTGATACTTACATTTATTCACTGGGAAATTTCAAACTTGTATATTGGTACTGTAATGCCTATGGAGGTCTGTGATTTTTGGTTTTGAGCTTAAATGTTCTAATATACTCAAGTTATGTTTGAAGTAGAGAAGAGTTTGGTTGTAAGTCCTTTGTGAACAGTGAATTATAGATTCACTGATGGTACATTTGGTAGCCTGTTAAGGTTTAAATAAATATTAACTTTGCTAGAGGGATTATAGTGTTCATTGCCTCCCTTGAATGTGTGTGTGTGAGAGCGCGCTTAGAAGCATGCCTAGAGTTTCAATCCGGGATTATTGGGGGCCGTATAAGAATGATTAATATTCTTTCCATCTGCCTAATGGATTTTACTGCAGCTTTTTGAGAAATATTGGTTGCCAACTTGGACTCATAACTCATTAGGTTGAAATCTACATGTCAAATTGATTAAACGTCCAGTTGTTTTTATCATTGTATCTTGTAGAAAAAGAAATTGAAGAAGCAAAAAGAATATATTTTATCACTCCATGCGAGAATCAGGCAATCTGTACAAGAGTATAACACCCAAAAGAAAGCTAAAGAGCTCCTTAGGGAGATTCAAGGTCTCGTGCATTTCGATTCAAGGTCTCGTGCTCCTTAGGGAAATACTAAAAGTTGATATTTCTAATTCTCCTGTCAAGCTGGAGCATGAAGATTGAAAGCTCCAAGCTTGTTACAAATGTACCCAATCCTAGGTTTGCAAAGGGATTTGGCTCAAAGTGAGAAAGGATCCAACAGTATCTCTGGAGACAAGCTTCTCTAGTGTGAAGTGTTAATCAACCTCGATAAGCTTAATTAGTCAGCCCATTGAATGCTAGATTGGATATAATGTGCAGGGTGGACTGATAATCGTGTAGGAGCTGCATAGCTCAAGGGTCACAAAATCTTTAATTCATTCAGCAGATGCTTTAGCACACATGTTCCATGCCCCGTAGCTCTATATTCTGCTTTTGCACTACAATGTGTAACTGCATTTTGCTTCATACTTCTCATAAGAGATGGGTTTGTACCAAGCACCAATGAGAACACAATAACCGGAAATTGGCGTGAGCACTTTTTGAAGTACTGCCACTAATTTTTTTGAATGTAGTTAGCTGATGTGTCATGCTGAAGTCAATGTTAAGTTAGGCACAATAGAGTGAAGATCTAATTTGAAGAATACACTGGTAGCTGTAATTAAGTTGATGAACAAGGACTGTCTGATAGAGAAGAGAAAGGAAAGTGAGAAGAGATTCCCCAGACTTTAGAGAACTGAAACTGCAAGGATGAGTAAAAAGAAAAAAAATTGTAGTTAAGTCCCATGGTATGTAGTAAAATCTTCCAAATGATTTCATTTGGACAGAAGAAGCTTTGGAATTGTATGAATTCCTCAAAGCTTTGGACTATTTGGCTTCATAAATGGGGAGATAGTTGTTGGTTCTTATTGGCTAGCATCAAGGACTTTAACGGTCCACATGCTAAGGTTTAAAATTTCACCATTAAAAATTGTATGCAATTTTTCTTATATTCTTGATAGGTTTGCAGCATGCTCTGTTCAGGTCATGTCCAAAAACATTTCACAATTCTATGAATGATTATTTAGAAGATTATAGTCTCTATTATGTGGCCTTGGATGAATCTTATCATTCTTAATTTGGACCAATGTGATTTTGGGTTTGATAAGGTCTGGGAGCCTTGTCTTTTTTTTTTTTTTTTGGGGGTGACGAGGGAAACCTGCAGCTCTTACCTGAGGGTGTGCACTGGGTAAACCCCGCCTGTGACCTTAGCTGGCAAAGAATGACAAGGTTATAAACCAACCTAGGTTTTCCATAGCTGACCGGCTAAAACTAAGAGGGCTGGGATTTGAACTTCTGTCCTTGTGGTTACAAGGTTGTATCCCTTATCAGCCTTGTCTTGTTTGCAGAATGAAGTCATGTACTTTTATTACTATTTTTAATGCCACTTAAATGTATTTCAGGCAATTATTTAGGTGATGGAGGAAAGCTTAAGGATCCGGGGCGCTTTAATGTGTAAACCCTCTCATGGAAATGTTAATGAGCTGAATCGAGTTAAAGCAAGCTGCAGATCATAGAATACACTGCACTTGCGCACACACGTCTCTTTGATGCTCACTACCAAGACAATGTCGCTTTAACTGTATACATTACTTATTCCTAGTGGTCGAACCCCTTGTAAACTGTGACATCTTACCGGAATTGCCTTGTTGCCAAATTTCAACAGTTCCATAGTATTGGGCTATTGGCAGACAATGGATGTTAATGTTTCAAACACAATTTCAGTGAAGTGGCTTTAGTATCGTCTCTTTTATGTTATGTTATTGATCATTAGTTAAATTTCATCTGCTGGGTGGTGATATATTATGATGAGTTGCTACTGCTAATCGTAGCAACTCATCTGTCCAGTTCGTCAAAATGATTGTGCCTACTGCTTTTTTTAAATATATTTTGGTACGGCCAGAATGGTAAAAGGAGCAGTTTTACTGCTGAACAGAATTTTTAAAAAATAACTTGGGTGTAGTTGAGTGGAAGGAATTCATTCATCTTTAACTAAACGTTAATTGTTCGATTATTGACTTTGGGTATGGAGAAGCTTTAAATCTCTACTGTAGGTACAGAATATGTCATTGAAAACACATAATCTGAAGGTTATTTTGGAACAAGGTCCACGATGGTAGGTAAACCCTGGTCCATGATATAATTTGCTAGTATCAATCATTATACCGTGCACTACGGCGCACATAACAATGTGCGCTCCGCGCCTCCCAAAACGACGTCGTTTTGTTAAGTTGCGTGGGGAGTTGACGCGACAGAGTGTATGTGTATTTTGTTAAATAATTAATTACTTAAAACAATTTTGTACATTATGTTATACAATTATGTACATTTTTTATACAATTATGTACATCCGAAACATGGAATTTTTTTAAGAGTTAAAAGTTTATGTGTATTATGTTAAGAGTTTATGTCTATTATGTATTATGTTAGATTATGTATATTATCTTTTCAAAAAAGAGTATGTGTATTCTGTTATACAATTATGTACATTCTGTTATACAATTATGTATATTCTATTTTATACAATTATGTACATTTTCGAAACATGAGATTTTTTTAAGAAGTTAACAGCCGACACGAAAAGCGAAATTCTCAAAGAAAAAAAAAAAGAAGGTACAAAACGATGTCCTTTTGCACCAGGACGCACAATGCAATGTTGCGCCCTGGTGCACGATATAAATTGCCCCACTATTACCAACAAAAATTCGATCCATGTGGTGTGAATATTGACAAATTATTTTGTGGACCATGTTCCACACAGTGCTGTGTGGATCATAAAAGATTACATTTTTAATATACTAAATGTACATTATTTGTATACTGAATGTACATTATACAAAATAATTTATTTTTAATATTCAAATAATGCATTTCCCTTAATACAAGGTACATTTTTAATATACTAAAAGTAAATTATTTATGTATTGAATGTATATTATTTGATAGTATACAAAGTAATGAACTTTCAATACTCAAATAATCTATTTTCAAATAATGTACTAATGTACTTTTATTTATGATTTTCACAATATTGGGTGGACCATAATGATTGAGTGGATATATATATATGCGGGGCAGGTTGAAATACTCATCTTTACAAGAAGCTAAAATGTTTAAATACAGCTATTGCAGTTTTGGTAAACAATTGGTTTCGTGGTGTAGTTGGTTATCACGTCAGTCTAACACACTGAAGGTCTCCGGTTCGATTCCGGGCGAAGCCATGTTTTGAATCTTCTTACGTCAAGAATAACGTTAGTTGGCCGTTCAGATAGCCATTCGATTTTTGTTTATCATAACTTTCAACTTCGTTGATTGAGCCAGCAATTTTCCTGTGTAGGTTTCTCCATTTATGGAATATAATCGGTTAAAGTACCCACGAAGTTCTTGTACTATAACATTTTTTTCAATTTAGTCCTTATACCTTTATTTTGTTCAATTTAGTCCTTGTACTTTCAAAAGTGGTGCAATTGAGGACAATAGTTAACGGTGTTAATATTATCGTTAACTTAGATTACGTGGTGGTGACGATATTTATATTCATACTCATATATTACTTTATAAATATTTAAAATTAATTATTTTTACCACCAATATATTAAATTAATATGTCCAAAATAAATCATTACAACCATGTTCCTAATGAGATTTGGACAATTGTCCTTAGTTTCACCACTTTTTAAAGTAAAGAGACTAAATTGAACAGAATAAAGATACAAGGACTAAATTGAACAAAACAGTATAGTACAGAGATTTCATAGGTACTTTGACCAATATAATCTCTTTTGTAAATCTTCCATTATTGAGACACCAAATCAATTTGCCACCAAAAATTAAGATATCAAAAAAAAATAAAAATTCCTCTTTTAATTTCTTAATGTTCGTTCACAGTTTTCTCATGAGATTAAAATATTCATTATTTTCTCTTAGTTGAACAATATTTCACCTTATAACCAATCATTATTACATGGACAATGGTCCACACAATTGTGTGGACCATAAATAAAAAGTACATTTTTAATATACTAAGGATACATTATTTTATATAATGTACCTTCAGTACAAAAATAATGTACTTTTAATATATTAAAAATGTACCTGATATTCATGGTCTACACAATAATTTGCTGCTAAAGGTGTAGTGATGTTGTTAGAGCGGCAAGCAACTTGACCCAATGAAATGTGACGTAGATCAAGGTTTGGAAACATTTTCGTTGGTTTTATAACTTTTAGACACTTAACGGCTAACCAACACAAATGTTAAAATAACGAGTGTCTAGGAAATTAAAAAGTATAAAAAGAATATGTTATAATAATATTATTATTATAATTATTAAACCATGCAAGTAATTAGTAATGGAAGACAATGTCGCTTTAGCTGTACACATTACTTATTCCTAGTGGTCGAACTCCTTGTAAACTGTGACATCTTACCAGAATTGCCTTGTCTCCAAATTTCAACAGTTCCATAGTATTGGGATTTTTGCAGACAATGGATGTTTCAAACACAATTTCAGTGAAGTGGCTTTAGTATCATGGCCTTGTTTGGTAAAATAATCAGCCTATAGGCCAATTTTAGTTTTTTAACCACTATTAATTGTTTGATTTGGTTAAAAAATCAAACAGAAATGTTTAGTTAATTAGTTTTTTGTAACTCCAAAATGCTAAAATTCAAAAAACAGCTCGAATCAACTTTTTCAATTAGCTTTTTGAGAAAAGAAATTATACCAAACAGCTATCAACTAACAGTTAATTTACCAAACACATTTCTACAATCAGCTAATGTGATCAACTAGTTATACCCTCTAATTAACCTAATCAGCTAACAGCTAACAACTAACAGCTAACAACGATTTTACCAAACAGGGCCATCTATTTTATGTTATGTTATTGATCATTAGTTAAATTTCATCCATTGGCTGGTGATATGATGAGTTGCTACTGCTAATCGTAGCAACTCATCTGTCCAGTTCGTTAAAATGATTGTGCCAAATGCTTTTTTTAAATAGGAATAATGGTCAAATGAGCCCTCGAACATAACGTGAAAATGCAATTGGACCATCCAACTAAAATGTTTTTTTTATAACTAATTTCCTGTTGGTAACCTGCCATTGCAGGCTACTTGGGATAAATTGCATGATTTTACAATGTTGAATGGTCTAATTGTACTTTTTTTAGTTGGGTGGCCCAATTGCATTTTCAAGTTACGTTCGATGGTTAATTTGACCCTTATTCCTTTTAAATATATTTTGGTACGGCCAAAATGGTAAAAAGAGCAATTTTACTACCAAACAGAAGTTTTTTAGTTTTAAAAAAATAACTTGGGGGTGTAGTTGAGTGTAAGGAACTCATTCATTTTTAACTAAACGTTAATAGTTCAATCCTTGATTTTGGGTATGGAGCAGCTTTAAATCTCTACTGTAGGTACAGAATATGTCACTGCAGACACATAATCTGAAGGTTATTTTGTGGTGGAAGTGTGGAGTAAGTGGTTTTCTACTGCATCTTTCTTCCCAATAAAGGCATAGAGCAATATTAGTTTGACAGGGCGTTTGGTTGGTATGAATAGAAATTAAATTACATTGTTTGGTATGAATGAATAGAATGATTGGTAATTAAAAGTAAAAAAAGTAAAATAAAGACTAAAATGGTAATTTATCATGGAATTATAATTTCACAAAGTGTGAATTTCAATTCTTGGGGAGACTCTAGGCATTGCAATTGCATGGTTAGAGGGAATTGTAATTATGTGGAATTGCAATTCCCTCCAACCAAATCATGGAATTGCAATTCTATGGAGTTTGGTAGGAACAGAATTACAATTTCATCCTATCAAACATCCCATCTGAGAGGCTAATTGTATTTGGGAATATATAGGTAGATAGAAGACTTATTTAACCATTATTTCTATACTAGTATTTTATATAGGGATGGCAACGGGGCGGGGGCGGGGAGTATACTCCACGTCCCCGTCCCCGCTACCCCGTCCCCGTCCCCGGCAGGGAGTTGGAAAAATTCACTATCCCCGTCTCCGCGGGGAATTTGGCGAGTGAGGGGAATCCCCATCCCCAGTCAACCTCATAGTCAAACAGTAAAAAATTAGTACAATTTTTTTTAAAAAATTGAAATCTATAATTATATGATTCATCATTCATTTTTTTTTAAAAAAAAAAATCAATAGTAATGCATGTATGACACAGTGTAATGATATATCATAAGCATCAACAATGATATGAATCCATTCAATCCACAACAAAATGATTATATGATTTACTTTCAAAGCAACAGTAATACACATAGTAATTACACTAGTATCACAGACATACACCAACAACAAATATATATATATATATATATATATATATATATATATATATATATATATATATATATATATATATATATATATAGTGAAAGGTTTCCGTGCGGATGTGTGGTGGATTAATGTGCGTGAGATTTATATTCAATGTGCGTGAGTGTTGTGCTTAATGTGCCTGAGATTTGAACTTAATGTGCGTGAATGTGTAAAATGCAGCAGAAAATATTGCTGTCAGCTTCTTCCTCATCCCGAGTAGCCATTGCCCCCTCCCTGATGATGATGATGCGGAGGCGGGCTTTGGTGGTTAAGAATTATGGGAATAATACAACAGAAATCTACACTTAGCTGCTGTGCAAATTTTACTATGCGTGCGTCATCTATATAAACATTCAACTGCACTGAAAGTAGCTGATAATCCAGAATCCATGGCCAAATTGAAGGAAGAAGTAACAAGAAGCTTGGG